AATATAAGCAAAAGAAAAAAGCGTTCTATACCCAACTTTTGCCAGATATTTGGGTACATGAAATATGATGTATACTTTATTTGGAAACCTCTGAGCTATTTCATTACTCAGTTTCTTGGGAACATCATATTTCAGGGTACAGTGTGGAAAAGATAGACAATGAGATGAATTTTTATTCATCCTAATATTGCATAAACAAAATGAAATCTACCAAGAAAGGAAGATAAGAAAACGCTCACAAACCAATTCAACCTAATTATGTCAGTCTGTGTTTGTTAATTACCATACCAAATTTAGCTTTGGCATTAACTTTGAGGGCACTAATGTTCCAGAATTAATCGGCTAAAATACAAAATAGGAAACTTACTTTGAAACTATTGAATGAGAGATACAGATGTGGAAGCCAATGCACAATTAGGAAAATGAGTGACAACCATGATTTCAGAGGACTAATGATGAACCATGCGACTCACCTCTTGATGGATAGATAAGAATTTGCTTTGTTTGACTATGCATATCTGTTGTGAGAATTTTGTTTTGCTTTTTTCCACTGGGTTGGTGGGATGGGATGTTCAAAACATAGTTCAAAACATAAACTTAGAATATACAAGAACATATATGTCAATAATGAAAGATAATTTGAAGTCTACCACCTTTTTATCTTCCCCACCATAAGTAAAACTAAAAGAAGAGGTTTTATATCAAATTATTTGGTATTTCGCTAAGCATATATTGAAATAAGTCTTAGAAATCTTGTAAAAAAATCAGCACAAGTAACCAGTACATTGAAACAGTCTGAAAACATGTGCATGTGCCACATCTGTGAATCTCCTACCTCTGTAAAGGTTGGGGAAAGGGGTTCTCTGATATTTCTTCATTTGAGTTGTGCTTGATCTTTCTAAATGTGTTATATTCATTTTTGAAATTTAGGGTGTATGATTGTTCTTTCCATTTACATTGTTGTAAATTACTGTGTATATTTTTTTCTTGGCTCTGCTTACTTCATTCTACATCGGTTCAAGTAGATCTTTCCATGCTTCTTTGCAGTCATCACATTTATTGTTTCTTGTTATTTTTCAGTCATTTCAGTAAGGTCTAATTCTTTGTGAACCCATTTGTGGTCTTAGCAAAGATATTGGAGAGGTTTGCCTCTTCCTTTTCCAGCTTACCTCATTTTACGGATGAGGAAACCAAAGCAAATAGGGTTACGTGACTTGCCTAGGATCACACAGCTAGTGTGTGAGGCCAGATTTGAACTCAGAAAGAACCTGAATTCATCATTTCTTACAGCACAGTAATATGCCATTACATTTTCAGTTTTGAATTATCTGCTTTCTCTACTTATATCTCCACTTTACCTACCCATTGAGAAACCAAGAAAATCAAAACCCGCCATAAATATGTGTAGGCATACAACATTTTGGCATTAGTCATGTTCAAGAGAAAAAAAAGGAGAAAATATTCTTTTTATCTGGAAGGGGTATCATTTCATCATTATAAATCCTTTAAAATTATGTTTGGTCATTGTATTGATTAGAGTTACTAAGCCTTTCAAAGTTGGTTATCTTTTCAATACTGCTATTACTGTATCAATTGTTCTCCTGGTTCTCCTAGCCGCTTTGTGTCAGTTCATAAAGGTCTTCCTAGGTTTTTATGAAAATATCCTCTTCATAATTTCTTAGAGCAAAATGGTATTTTATTGCATCAAATGCCATACTTTGTTCATCCTTAATTAATGGGCATAACCTCAGTTTCTAAATCTTTGCCACTGCAAAAAGAGCTGTCATAATTATTTTTGCACATATGGGTCCTTTTCCTCTTTCTTTGATCTCTTTGGGGTGTAGCCCTAGCAGTGGTATCATGGGATCAAAAAATGTGCACGGATTAATAGCTTTTTTGATATAGCTCTTCCAACACTGCATTATTATGCCTGTTTTTCCCTAGTCCCCCTAGCAATTGGTGTTTGCCTTTTTTGTCAGCTTTGTCTATCTGATAGATGTGAGGTGATACCTCAGAGTTATTTTAATTTGCATTTCTCCAATTATTAGATATTTAAAGCAGTTTTCATATGGTTGTTGATATTGTGAATTTCTTCCTCTGAAAACTGTCTATTCATATCCTTTTATCAGTTAGAGAATAGTTTTTCTTCTGGTAAATTTGATTCAGTTCCCTAGATATCTTATAAGTGAGACCTTTATCAGAGAATCTTGCTGCAAAGATTTTTCCAAGTTCCCTGCTTTTCTTCTAATTTTAACTACATTGATTTTTATTGCATAAAATTAAAAATGTTTTAATTTTATGTAATCAAAATTATCCATTTTACCTCTTGTAAACTTGTCTGTCTTTTGTTTGGTAATGAACTCATACCCTATCCACGAATTTGACAGATAATTTCTTACATGCTCCATTAATTTGATTACCCTTTATGTCTAAATTACGTACCCATTTTGTGCTTACCTTGGTATATGGTGTGAGATGTTGATCTATGCCTAGTTTTTGCCAGACTACTTTCTAGTGTTCTCAACAATATTTATCATATAGTAGTTTTTATACCAATAGCTAGGATCGTTGGGTTTATCAATCACTAGATAACTTCTCATTTGCTTCTGTATCTTATATACCTAACCTGTGCCATGATCAACCACACTCTATTTCTTACCAGGTACCAGTTTGTTTTTGTAATTATAGCTATGTAATGTAGCTTGAGATCTGATACTGTTAGCCCTACTTCTTGTGTTTTGAAATTTTATTCCTCTAACTGACTTTTGTTATGACTTTTTCTACCTCCATAAAGTAAATTTTTTTTAGTAATTTGATTGGTATGGTACTGAATAAGTTAATTCTAGGTAATATCATCAGTTTTAGTGTATTGGCCTCATTTACCTGTGGACAATTGATATTTCTCCAATTTTTTACATTATTTACAGTGTTTATTTGTGTCAATATGATTGTGTTCATAAAGTTCCCCTGTATAGCTTGACAGGTGAAAGTATTCTATACTTTCTGTAGTTATTTTAAATGGTATTTCTCTTTCTAGCTCTTCCTGCTAGGTTTTGTTGGTAACATATAGAAATACTGATTGTATGCATGGGTTTATTTTATACTTCAACTTTCCTAAAGTTGTTGATTTATTTTTTGTTAATTTTAGTTGGCTATCTATTGTTCTCTAAATAAACCATGATATCACCTGTAAAAAGTGATAGTTTTCCCTCTTCTTTGTCTATACTTATTTCTTCAATTTCTTTTCCTTGTCTTTTTGCTATAGCTAGCATTTCTAGTACAATATTGAATAATAATGGTGTTAATGCACATGCTTGTTTCACCCCAGATTTTATTGGGAAGGCTACTAACTTATCTTCATTACAGATACTGCTTGCTCTTAGTTTTAGATAGATACTATATAAGATAGTAAGGAAAGTTCCTTTTATTCCTATACTTTCTAGTGTTTTTAGTAGGAAAAGGTATGGTATTTTGTCGGTATCTATTGAAATAACCATATGAGTTTGTTGTCTTTGTTATTAACATGATCAATTATGTTTATAGTTTTTCTTAGTATTGAACCAATCCTGGTCTAAATCCATCTTAATCATACTGTATCACCTTTATAATCTATTGCTGTAATCGCCTTACTAGTATTTTATTCTGCTATAAATATATCGATGGGCAGCTAGGTGGCACAGTGGATAGAATACTAGGCCTGAAGTCAGGAAGACTCATCTTCCCTAGTTCAAATTTGGCCTCAGACACTTGGTAGCTGTATGACCATGTATAAGCATCTCACTTAATCCTATTTGCCTCAGTTTTCTCTTCAGTAAAAGGAGCTGGAAAAGGAAATAGCAAACCACTCCAGTGTCTTTGCCAAGAAGACCAAAACTGGGGTCACGAAGATTTGGAGATGACTGAACTCAATAACAACAACAAAATATATTGATATCTTTGGAGGCTTTCTTCTTATCAGTCTTCCTTGAGATAGAATTCCAATATTGGAATGTCTGATTCAGCCTTACACTCTTAATCCACATATCCTCCCAATTCCTACTTTATACAATTCCTTACTTTATTTAAGAGCCACCTTCTCCATGAATTCATGATTCTCCCAAGTACCAGCACCCTCTCTCCCTAGCTATCTTTAGTTTAACTATGTTATGTTTATTTTATATTTTTCTGTATATACTTATATACTTATATATATATTTATATATATGTTTATATATATGTCTTTTCTTCCTTCATTGAGAATTAAATTCCTCAAAAGTAGGGACAGTTTTACTTTTTATATTCATATCACAGTGCTTAGCACAATGTCTGGCATCTAAAGAGTTTACTTAATAAATGAACACTTGTTGATGGATTGATTGTTTTGCATTGCAATATTTTTTTTTACTGAGCTATTATTCACAAACAGGTCAGTGTTTCTAATTTTGAATTTGAAATACAAAATCGTGGATTCATGTTATATATTTTAATACTGTAATATACATTTAAAAATTATCTAGTACAATTCTATCATTTAACAATTGAAGCAATTGAGGCAAGAAAGTTAAAGTAACTTCCAGGATTTCATCCTTCCTCTGACTCCAAATATAGATATAATTGTGTAGATGCTGTTTTTTTCTACTTAAATTTTTAATAGGTAATTTTGAGGCAGAAATTCAGATAGATTCAGTAGGATAGAGCCACAGGGGACTTGATTACGGCAACTACCTGAAAGGGCATTCCTTCCCCATGATGTTATTCAGCATTTAGGGATGAACAGACATTAGGCCACCAGCAGGTTGGTTGGTCTATGAGGAGCAAGTGGGGACAGGGTCCACTGGGCATATGCTGCTTCTCCAGACCAGGGGAAGCCATCAGGACCTACAAATACATCTAACCTTGCACTCTGTAAGGCTACCTCCAGTATGTCAGTTAGAGTATTTTTTCCTTCAAGCCATGAAAGTGTTACTTTTTCCTTTGTAATGACTGTGATTTTAAAATGGACTTGTTTTCATGTTTTTTAGAGGGGATACTCATTTGTGGCAGAAGCCTATACGAGTGATTTTTATGTAACAGCTGGAAAATGGAGACTCCGTATCATTGGTTCTTTTAGTCCCCTGCCATACTTTGGTCGAGAGACTGCATGCAGTTTATTTTCCATGAGGGAGATTAAAGACTATTATATTCCTAATGACAAGCACATTTTGTTCAGGTATATGTTTATTTCAAAAGGGGAAATATTTTAATATTTTAAGTTCATTCTTATATAAAATCATCACAAGGTTTTTGTGAGGACCAAATGAGAAGATATTTGTAAAGCATTTAGCGCAGTGTCTGGCACTTGGTAGGTATTTAATTCTTGTTTCCTTCCAATAAGGTATCAGTATCTAAAGCAACCAATATGCCTACATAATCTGACTTTATAGTCACTATGAATCAACTGGAAGCCAAATTAAAAAAAATTCAGACAGAAACATTTAATTTGATGGAGAAAAACCTTTTAAATTAGACATAGTGTATCCAGGGATTGTCATACTGAGGTACAAGATATTGATTCAACATATGTCTAAATAAGTTGGGCATAGATCTTCCTAAAATCATAAATTGGAGGGTTAATAGTAATGGACATTTGGGAAAATCTGAAGGTGAAAAATGTGATTTTGAAGGGGAGAATGTTATCTAGAGTAACTGACTTATTTATAGTATTTTTAAATAAATTCTTGTTGATTTGTTTAATTGAATAGATACAATTATAAAATTAAGTATTCATAACAAAAGCAAAGTAAAAAAGAAGGAAAAATTCCAGATGTGATATAATTGTCTTTGATTGCACCAAAGATATTTATATTACCTAGGGTAAAGATGTATATATAATCAAATCTCAAGATAAAAATCTTTAATGTCTAAAATTACCACAAAATTTTGGGGAGTGTATCTATATATGATATAACTAACATTTATCCAAATAATGTATATATTTAAAAGAAAAATACCAATCCAGGCATTCCTAGCCATTTTAATAAAGGAAAAATATTTTTCATTTCCAAAAATCTGTCAATACTGGGACTGGAGCATGGGGAGATACAGCAGGTTTGAGGTGGCTAGGAGGGTAGGTTGCATAAAACTGCTAAAAAGAGGTAGGGAGTGGGGCAGAGCCAAGATGATAGAGTAGTAGAAATACTAAAGCTGACCTCTCCCAACATTCCCTTCAAAGTAACTAAAATAACACTTCAAATTGAATTCTGAAGTGTCATAGCCAACAAATGGTCAGGGTGAGATGTTCTTCCAGCCCAAGACAACGTAGGAGGTTGAAAGGAGAGCTCTGTGACATTGGAGTGGGGCCTCACCTGGAGCCCATGTGGATGTAGCACCACTTAGTGGTGGCAGCAGAAGCAGCAGCAGCTTCAGGGGCTCTCAAACCAGAGACAGTAAGGGGATTCGTAAACTGGTTAGAGATTACAGAGAACCCTTGTATTAATCCCAGGCTCAGGACTGGATGCTGTTTGGTAACTTCATTGCCTATAGGCATAATGGGTATTCCAATTTACAGATTACAGTTCAAAGGTGGAGAAGTGTGCTATGTATCATGAGGGAGCAGAGCCCTGAGAAGCAACATTACTTGTGGTTATAAGGAAGCAGGAGTCTTTCCTGGGTAAGGACCAGAGCATAGACCAGGAGATCAGTCACCATACCTCTCCCTGTATCATACCATCTTAGAAGCACTGAAAACTTTCAAACACAGAATTAGCACTGAAAGGAACAGAGCCAAAAAAAAAAAAAAGCCAGAAGGTTGTGACAGTTCTTTACCCCAAACCAAAGAACAGAGGCCAATTTTAAACTAAAGTAAAATGTTGAGAAATAGGCTGGAAAAATGAGCAAACAACAAAAATGAATCCTGATCACAAGGAACATCTATGGTGAAAGGAATGATCAAGACACAAACTTAGAAGATGATGATGATGTCTAAAACTTACAAGCAGTGCCTCAAATGAAAAATAAGTTAATTGGACATGAGCCCAACAAGAATTCCTGGAAGAACTTAAAGAAAACCAAATAAGCATTGTAGAGAAAAAATGATATATGGAAAAGGAGGTACAAAAGCTCATTGAAGAAAATAACCCCTTAAAAATTAGAATTCATCAAGAGGAAGCTAATGACTCCATGAGATATCAAGATACAATAAAACAAAATCAAAAGAATGAAAAAATAGAAGAAAATTTGAAATATCTCATTGGAAAAAAAAACTGACCTAGAGAATAAATTGGAGAGAGATAATTTAAAAATTATTAGACTGCCTGAAAGCCACGAATAAAAAAGAGCCCAGACAACATATTTCAAAAAATTATCAAAGAAAATTACCCTGGTATCCTAGAACCAGACGGTAGAGTAGAAATTGAAAGAGCCCACCAATTACTTTCTAAAAGAGATCCCAAAATGAAAACTCCAAAGAATATTATAGCTAAATTCCAGAGCTCCCAGGTCAAGGAAAAGAAGACTGAAAGCATCCAGAAAGAAACAATTCAAATATCATGGAATCACAATCAGGGTTACACAGGATTTAACAACCTCTACATTCCTGAAGGCAAAGGAACTAGGATTACAACCAAGAATCACCAAAGAATTATACTTTGTGAAACTAAGTATAATCCTTCAGGGGGAAAATGGATATTCAGCTAAATAGAGTACTTTATTTGTTTATTTATTTATTTTTGGCTAGGCAATGGGGTTAAGTGACTTGCCCAGGGTCACAGAGCTAATAAGTGTTATGTGTCTGAGGCTGGATTTGAACTCAGGTCCTCCTGAATCCAGGGCCAGTGCTTTATCCACTGTGCCACCTAGCTGCCCCTAAATAGAGGACTTTAAAGCATTCCTATGAAATGACCAGAGCTGAATAGAAAATTTGATTTTCAAATATGAGACTTAAGAGAAGATATTGTAGACAATGAAGTAATATCAACACTAAACATATGTGCACCAAACAGCACAGCATCCAAATTCTTAAAGGAAAAGTTAAATGAATTACAAGAGAAAATACACAGTAAAACTCTCCGGGGGTTAGAGGAAGTCATCAATTTCCCCCTCTCAGAACTAGATAAATCTAATTGAAAAAATAAGAAAGAAGTTAAGGAGATGAATAGAATTTTAGAAAGGTTAGTTATAATACACCTTTAGAGAAAATTGAGTGGGAAGAGAAAGAGCAAGTTTTATAGAAAAAAAACCCAATAATAAAATAGACAAACTTTTTGTTATTTTGATTAAAAAAGAAGACAGAATTACTAGTCTCAAAAATTAAAAGGATGAAATGCACCACCAATGAAGATGAAATTAAAGCAAGTATTTTGCCCAATTATATGCCAGTAAATCTGATATTCTAAGCAAAATGGATGAATATTTACAAAAATATACGTTGCCCAGATTAATAGAAGAGGATATAGAATATTTAAATAATTGTATCTTAGAAAAAGAAATTGAACAAGTCATAAATGAGCTCCCCAAGAGAAAAATCTCTAGGACTAGATGGATTTACAAGTGAATGCTACCAAACTTTTAAGGAACAATTAATCCTAATAATATGTAAACTATTTGAGAAAGTAGGTGAAGGAGTCCTACCTATTTCCTTTTATGACCAAATATGATTTTGATGACTAAACAAGGGAGAACAAAAACAGAAAAAAAACCCTATGGGCCAATTTCCCTTAAACAAAATGCTAGGACCTACACTGTGATCAGGAAGGATTTAAAACAGGAATGCAGGGTTTGCTCAATATTAGGAAAACTATCAGCATAATTGACCATATCAATAACAAAACCAACAAAAATCATATGATTGTCTCAATAGATCCAGAAAAAGCTTTTGACAAAATACATTACCCATTCCTATTAAAAACACTAGAAAGCCTAGGAATAAATTGAACCTTTAAAAATATGAAGTATGTTAAAATGGGTACCAAGGCAATGGTAGTCATCTTGGAATTTTCCCAGCTAAGGCTTCTGGAATTATTTATAAGTTCCATAATGTTAGCTAGATAAGGAGAGACTTGATCTAAATAACATTAATGCAAACTATTACAAAATCTTCTTAAAGAAAATCTCATAGTAGTTTCCTTTTTTTAATCCTATTCTAGTAGCTTAAGAAAACAACTTTGAGAGTTCTGAGATTTTAATGAAATAGCATTTTTTGCAGACTATTATACTAGCAAAGTTTGTAATTGCCTTTATTTGGATTACAGAAAAGACTATTAAGTAAATTGTTCACAGAGTTTTTATTTTTATTATTGTTATTTTGCTTTCATAGGTATTCGGTAAAAGTGGTACAAGGGCTCATTGTTACGGTACAGGTACGTACTTCTAAAACTGATGTTTTCGTCAAACTACAGATCCTGGAAAATGAAGAAGAGGCTGTAAGCACTATTGGAAAAGGCCATGCTATAATTCCTGCATTTTTTTTCCTTAGTAATGAAAAAACTTTAAGCTCTCAATGTAAGTAACTTATTTTAATTCTTTTAAAAATACTTGAATTAAAGAATAGACATTTACTTATTCAGTTTTAAAATCACTTACTTGGAGAAAACAATGAAAAGACAAATATGTGAAAATGTGAAATAGCACAGCTATGATTAAATGAAGTCATCATTTAACACATTATTATATCATATTAATACATATGTGCACAACATATGTATATACACATATTAGACATTTATATACCATACAAAATATACATATATTAACCATTTTGCTGCTGCTGTTGTGTGTGTGTGTGTGTGTGTGTGTGTGTGTGTGTGTGTGTGTGTGTAGCAGTAAAATGGTTAGTATATGGTTCATAACACTTCTCAAAAAGGTTTTATTGTGATTTCTCCTGGAGTTGGCCTTGTGTTCTTCAGGCCATGCCAGTAATGCACAAGCTCTGATAGGTTTTCCCTTGCTGGAAAGGTTTTAAGTCTAATTTCCACAGTAAACTGCATTGTCTTTCCAAGATGCTCATGACCAGTAGGCTGGACACTGGGTGTTAAATCCTTTGGCCTTGGCAAACCAAGAAACAACAAAAAAATACTTTGGCAGTGATGGTGGTAGAATGGTAGCAAAGGTGACAAAGAATGATAGTTTTCAGACCACCTTTCTATCAATATTAATTTAACTGTTGACACTCTAAATGTGAAATCCTTGTCCAGTGATCAGTAAACATCGTACTAGATAAATTGGATTATATCAATATTGATATTCTTGCTGTAAGTGTAATTAGAAGATACAGTTTACCGGCAAACGGAGGTAGACAGAGGAACAAACATTTATTAAGCATCTACTATATGCCAGATGCTGTGCTAAGTGCTTTCCAAATATTGTCTTATTTAATCCTCATAACCATCCTGGGAGGTAGGTACTATTATTATCCCCATTTTGCATTTGAAGGAACTGAGGCAGACAAAGGTTAAGTGACTTGCCCTAAGTCACACAGCTAGTAATTATTTAAAACTGGATTTAAACTCAGGTCTTCCTGACTCCCAGGCCCATGGCTTTCTCCATTGTGTTACAATTAATGAAAGAGTTAGTGGAATTGGTTTTATTATGAGTACAAACACTGCTAGAGACATGTCATAGGGCACTTGGTCATCTCACCTTTCAGTGCTTTTGGTAAGCATAAGCAAAAAATCTAGTAAGATTCTTACAACAAAGTTGAAGAGAAATCATATGAAGAAATAAATTCTATTATTCTGCACTTTGATATTATATTTTTCCTCAGAACTTCCCCTGTTCCCAACTTTCCTATCACTGTCAAGTGTGCTGCCATGCTTCTTCATGTCAACTAGGCTTGCAAGCTTAGTCTCCAGTGAGAGAAACCTATTGCCACTTACCAACTTCTCCTATTTTTTAATGAGCAACAAATTATTCTAATGATTGCAGTTTTTTTTTAGTATAGTCTAAGATCTGGTATTGCTAGGCCCCCTTCCTTCCCACTTGTTTTCATTAATTTCCTTGATATTCTTGACCTTTTTTTCTCTAGATGTATTTTGTTATTTTTTTCTAGCTCTAGAAAATAATCCTTTGGCAGTATGATTGGTAAGCCTCAGTTCAAATCCAGCCTCAGATACTTCCTAGCAGTGTTACCCTGGACAAATCATTTAACCTCTGTTTGCCTCAACCCACTGGAAAAGGAAATAGCAAACCACTCCATTATCTTTGCCAAGAAAACAAAATGCAAAAATATCTTTGCTTTATCCCCATTTTTACTGGGAAAGCTTACATTAGATTCCATTTCAACTCTTATTTTTAAATATGTGCTTTTCATCATATTGCATTAGGGTCCTTATGTAGTCTTCACAAATTGCACTATCAGAAGTGGAAGATCTGAAACTGCTTGAAAGAATTGTTAATTAATGGCATCATGTTGCTCAGATTAGTACTACAGAAGACTAGAAAATATAAATATTAGTTGAAGCAAAAGACCAATCCACAAATCTTACGATACCCTGAATTACTTGCTAGGCAGTCAATGGTTTGCCATGCTAGATTTACAAAGTAGGCACTATCAGATCCCCATGGCAGAAAATAAAAGAGAAAACAGCTTCTTCTGGCCCAGCTGTATGTAGTTTCAGCATATAACTCAAGGATTCTCAAGGCCATAACTAGGCAGCACAGTTTAGTAGCACTCTGGCCACTGGTAGGGATGTCTTGCCACTTCCAGCCTCTCCCATCCCTTTGCTTAATTGTACAAATAGGAGTCTATACAATAAGGAGTAAAGGGTGGAGTAGTCATCACTTGAACCTCACTCTCCTCTGAGCTGGTCAAAGATGAGAATATACATACATAAACACACACAACTGGGTCCAGAAATGCATTTCACCTAATCAGGAAACAAGAGGAAAAGGGGTCAAAGGAAATGTGAGAATAAAAGGTCAGGACAGATTAAGGGAAGGATTAGTCACAAGCAAAAAAAACCTTTTAAAGTGGGGGCAGGAAACAAAGAGAAAGAAAAGCGTACTTGAACAGGATGAAGGGAAATACACAGCAATCATAATTGTGAATATTATTTGAAATAGTTCCACAAATGATAACTATGATGATTAGAATAAAATATCAAGACAGAAATCAAGAGGAGGCAGAAGTATAGCTCTTTGCAGATGATGATATAATGTACATAGAAAACACCATTGAATCAGTAAAGAAACTGAGATAATTAGTAGCTATCAGAAGGGAATGGGCTACAAAATGAAACCTTCAAAAATCATTATCATTGCTATATAATACTAATAAAAGCCAGGAAGAAAAGATAATAGGATAAATACCATTTGAAATAACTACATAATATACCTGGAATTTGACCTACCCGGGCACGCACAGAGATTTATACAAATACAACATAAAACTTTCTTGACAGGAATAAAGGGATACATAAACAATTAGAGAGATATTCACTGTTTGTGGTTGGGCTATTCAAATATGATTAAACATTAAGCCCTTTCAATATCATTTTATATTTTCCCTTTCATATACTCTGTTGTTGTCCATATAGGAATACCAAATTACCCTGGCAGGCATAAGACATCCTAGATACTCTCCTTTATCACCCTAAAATTTTTCCTTAATTTGGAACTGAGTTTGGGATCTAGACCAATAAGGAAAACCGTATCTTCATTCCTAATCTACTTACCAATATATGAAATGTTTGTAGTGCTTGAAGGTGTACAAAACACTTTACAAAACATTTTCTCACTTGATCTTTACAATGATAGTGATACAGCAAAGTATTTCATGAAAATATTTTCCCCATTCCCCATTTTGCAGATGAGAAGACAAGCTTAGATAGTCATACCACTAGGGATGTAAACCCAGGACTTTAATTTCCAAGTCCAGTCTTTTTTTTTCATTTATACCATGACAGACAAGATTGTATACAGATTTTGGTGCAACAAAATAATTGGAGTCACTATTTGAAGCTTGTTATGGCAGGACACAACAAAACAAAGACAATACAGTGTTAAATGCATGTTATCCATTATTAAACTCAGAATGCATATTTTATCCCATATCAGCTAGCAAGCAAGTTCTTTCTCATAATATGGCTACCAAGAAAGAAGCAGATGTTCCACAAACCAAGAAAAAAGCTGCTGTAGGAGCTCAAAAAGTTAATAAGTCACGACTTTCTGGTGTAATTGAAAGTGGTCAGCCTGTTCTTGATGATGATTCTGTTAGTCTTCCAAATGTAGATGGAAACTCTCAAGTTTCCCAGCAGGTGAGACATTTACATTGAAAAGAAGTGTCTACCAGGTAATAGTTAAAAACAACTATTTTACTTTCTTCAAGATAGCTTTGGTTAAAAAAAGAAAAACTTGTTGAAATTATAAAATTATCTATTCTCAAAACAGAGCAACATTTTAATTGGTTTTGTGTTCCATTTAATGGTAATAAGGCCTCAAATAAACAATAAAATAATGGTTGATTTTTGTTGATAATAAAAAAAAGTACGATAATTTTGTTTATCATTTCAGTGGAAGGAATTGAGGCAGTCTGGTAATTTCCCTACAGATGCATCATTGAACACAGACATTTAGAGATACTTACTGGTATTAAAAAAACCAAAACAAAACCAAGAGTATAAATTAGAGAATCGTAGAATCGAAAGGTATATTACATAAATACCAGTCTCGTGTTATAGATTTGGCAAATAAGGTCTATAGAAGTTAAGTTCAAGGTCATGATTAATTGAATTATATACATGAATTTTTAGACTTCACTGATCTATGAAAATATTAGAATACAATCTTGGTGAGAAGAGGCCTTTTATTTTGTAAGACAAATGAATTTTATGATTTTTTTCAGCTGGAAAGAATGCAGTAGTGATAATGCTACAAATAGCTGATATGATTTATTGGGACAGATATATAAATTTGGAGTTAGAGGACTATGTTCAAATCCTATCTCTGCTTTCCTAGCTGTCTTATCTTGTGAAAGTCCTATCACCTCTGGGATTGAAATTCCTCATTTATAAAATGAAGAGATTGAATTAGATGACTTTCAAGATTCTTTGTAGCTCTGTATCCAAGATACTATGATCTCAGCATGCATTCTTTGTGCACTCCAACCATTTTGTCTTTACATTGAGATAACTAGTATTAAGTTATCAGTTTAAGGGCCAATTACTTTTGCATTTAATATACTGTATACTCACATTACTTCTTCACTAAACACTGCATTTTATTTCAGACTTATAAGTATATCATACAAGCTACAGTATTATATAACAGTTGGCCCCTTACAGAAAGCCAGTTGGCATTTGTTCAGACACTTAAAGACTTGGAAAAAAATGATCTCAGAGGTATGTTACCTTAAATTCTTGCATTTATATGAACATTATATTTTTGAATTTTATCTTATAATTTCAGTGTAATTTCAAACATTATTTTCTGCATATATGGTATGTATTTTTTGGTTTTCCTCATTCTTTTATTCCTAAAAGTTTTGTAATTGATTTGTTGAACCAAAAATATGAGGAATGCTTTAGACCCAGATGAACACTAACTTTGCCTAGCCAGATCAGCATGATTTATTATATTCTGCTAGAGAAAATAGATTTTCACAAAATTTAATTTATGGCAATTCATTTACAAAATTTGGATATTTCTAGTAACAGTAAATGAGCATTTCAGCAGGTGGAGGTATTGCTACATGAAAGAGGACTTTTTGATGTATAAAATATTGTGTAATATATTTCACATTGTAGAACAAAGAAATAATAGGTTTTATTCTTTAAAAATCAAATGCAAATACCCATGATGTCCAAGCTTTAGACAAAAAAAAATAGATTATTTTCACATTTGGAAGGATGTAGTTTTCACAAGCATAGCCCTAGTATTTATCTCTCAGAATTTTTTCCAAATAAAATGTCTTCTTTTTTGGTTGCTACAGAATGGTAAGTTTAGATTTGGAATTTTATTAATGATCCATTTGTGTAAAAATAAGGAACACTTATTAGAGAAGGGTTTTTTTGTCTTTTTAGGAGTCCTTAAAAAGAGTTCTTTTGGCCAAGGGACAAGGACAAGGTCAAGAACAAGAGACAGTCCTCTCACTTTTTTTCCCAAAGTTCTGCCAGGATATGGCAGGAGACAAGGGTGTCATTGCTAGATGTTACAACTGGGATGAAGGTTCTGGAGATAATATATTCTACATCCTCAACAGGAAATTAAGCAGAAGATATAGGGATGCAGTGGAGAGGAACTTGAAGGACTAATGTGAGGGAGTAGGCAAAAGTGGAAACCAAGCCTAAATTGAGTTTGAAATGAGAGAACACCATGGAAAGCCGACAGAACAGCAGCCATCCCTTGACATTCATGGAGATTTAGGGAGCTGGACCCCAACAAATGTGAAAAACTGCTAATAACTCTAGGCCCCACCCCAAACCTTTATTTTTAATAATTCTGATCACATTAACATTTAACACAGAAAACAAGTAAAATAACAATTGCACCCATAAAAAAAGTTTCTACATTAGAGAGGTTAGTATTTTGCACAGTAGGCAGAGTCTTTGAAGCTGCAATGTAGCTATAGCAACTACTTCATGGATTTCCATCTCCTATGAAAAGCATAGGATATAGTGATCACTATGGAGAAATTCACATGATTGAGTCTGGATGGTAGAGAGACAAAGTGGAGGCATTCCCAAGAGAGTATACAGCCTGTAGTTATTTAGTGCACTGAAACTTTTAACAAAATTTTACTATTTATAATAAATTTATGTATGTATACTTATGGTAGTAAATGATAAAATAGATTAATAATATACAACATTGTGCATTTATGACTCACTAAGATTTTTTTTTTGCTTTCTTTACCTATGTACATTATCTGAGATTTTTTTCAGTATGCTGCAAATATCCAAAAATTCCTTTTTAATCAGTGGCCAACCCCAAATAACCAAAACTGCAAATGAAACCCAGGAATGTCAAGGATGATTGTAGATGGGCCAGAACAGGGATAGTGTAGCCAGTAGTAAAAAGTAACCATGTATTTGGAAGTAGAGGAGCTTCTCAACAATAAAGACATATCATTAGAGTGGCTTATTAGGATGGAATGGTAGAGCATAAGGGCCATGATTGCTCAGGCATTTTAAAGGAGCCCCACAGTTAAAAAAAAGAAAACTTGATGAATCAGGTTTTATATTTCTTTATTCTTGAAGAGACCGCACTGAGAATGTGTGTTTTTTCTAGATGCAGTAGGTAGGAATCCCAAGATGATCCCTATGTATAGCTCTCATAGGTCTTAAAAAGGAGAAGGGGTGCAAAGAAACTGTAGAAAATATTGTGTTTATATGGTTTTTTTTTAGAGTTGGATCAGTATTAAAAAGGCTGAAGTGTCTCTCTCTCTCTCACACACACACACACACATGCACACTCACGCGCACACACACACACACATATTACCATAAAGGATTGTGGGGAACTGTTTCCTGGTACTATGATAGTTTCCCTTTTTTCTGGACACTTTTCTGGACTCTTTCTGGACACTTAGGAAGTCTAGCATGTCATAACATCATGGTTTTGGACTGCTACATCATGCCTCAGTCACACTAATGACTCATGTTGAACTTACACCACACTAAAACTTCTAGATCTTTGCTATCAGAAAGCTTTCCAAGCTAAACTTTAAAAATTTTGTACTTCTGAAGTTAAGTTTTGAAACCCAAAGACTGAACTTTATAAATATCCTCATTGAATTTAATTTTATTCCGTTTGGCCCATTATTTCAGCCTGTTAAGATCCTTTTGGCTCCTGACTCTTGTCCAACATGCTTGAGATCCTTCCCAGCTTTGTGTAATTGCATATTTGATAAGCATGTCCTCTATGATAAAAGATTAAAATGTGGAACAGCACAGGGTCAGGACAGTTTGATGCATATTCCATTATGGATCTTGCTTTGTGCTAAGACAGAAACCTTAATGATTACTCTTTGGGTCTAGTCATTCAATCAGTTCTCAGTCCACCTACCAGTGTATCTGCTTCTCTAGGCACATGTGTGTTCCTTGAGGATAGTAACTCTTAATTGTTTATATTTGTGTCGCAGACATGCCCCGTCATGCGTCCTCTAACATCTCTTGGTTAAAGTAGGACTTTCGTTTCTGAGGCCTAAGTTCCCTGGACAAGTTTCAAATACTCTTTGTTCTTGTTTCCTCGTGACCCTCTGAAGAGGGCATTCTTCTTCACAACTTCACGTCTTTCTTGTTGCAACTGGACCACAGGCAACTGAGTTGACACGTTAAGAATGATTACATTCATGAATTGGAGCTAGCGCTGGCTCTGGGTATCTCTTTTAAAAAGAGATAAGGTCTCTACTTAGAAACAGACATGGGAGAAAATTGAGACCTAAAAGGAGAAGATTCTCCAGGGTAGAGGGAACCAGAAGTTCTAGAAGTAAGCAATAGATACTCAACAGAGATCCTTCTAAAGACAAGACCAAGAGTTAGTGCATACATACAGACATTGGGATGCATGTGGATTCAGAAAAAAACTTGCGAGAATACGCGTAGCCTCTACAGGGAACCATGCGTACCGAGGGACCAGAGCTTACAGAATGGTTTCAGAAAAAGGAGAGGAAGCTAGGTGGAATAGTGGATAGAGTGCTGATCGTGGAGTCAGGAAGGCCAAGGTTCAAATCCAGCCTTGGACTTAGAATAAATCACTTACCTTCTGTTTGCCTCAATTTCCTCATCTGTAAAATGGGAATGATAATAACATTTACCTCCCAAGGTTGTTGTGAAGATAATTTAATATAATATTAATAAAACACTTTGTAAACCTTAAAGTGGTATGTTAAGGCTAGGTAGTATTAGCTATTATAATTAACATGAAAGAATAGGGAGTCTGAACCGAGCCACACTGTGAGACAGGAAAGATGAGATGAGGAAGGGATTAAGAATCTCAATGAGAGAAAATGGAAGAGAAGATTGACCAGCTTCATTCATACCTGTAGAGAAGCTCCTAGGCCACACCATCACAAGGCCACAAAGAAGAAGTGGCTATGTAGCAAGGAAATGTGCATACCAAGGAGTAAGCTGGAGCTATCATTTCACCAATAATTATGGGCCATGGATTATGATGTTGATAGCTAGCATAGTGCTTTAAGGTTTACAAAGTTTTTTTTAAAGGTTCAGAAAGAAGAGTCACTTGGTTGTCTCTAGAAAAAGGAGAGAAGAGTGTTTCTCTCGTTTAGGGGGCTTTGATATAAGTTTATTCTATGTCTTTTTTTCTACCTAAATAAAATATGTCCTACAGATAGTGCCTTGATAACTTTAATACATACAGGACAGCCAGAATCCTTTAAAGAAACAAAATTCAAATTCTTATTTTCCAAGGGGAAACTTTGGGTGTGGTCCAAATAAGCTAAATTCTTATGTTCCCAAGAGCAATAGAAATCTATCTTACTTACCCTACAGGAAAGTAAGAGGGGAAGAGTATAGGAGAAGGGGTGGGGGAGAGTAATAGAAGGGAGGGCTGATTGGGGGAGGGGGATAGTCAGAAACAACACATTTGAGGAGGGACAGAGTGAAAGGAGAGAGAATAGAATAAACAGGAGAGGGGAATAGGGTGGAGGGAAATAACGGTTATCGATAGTAACTGTGAAAAAAAATTGAAGCAAGTTTCTCTGATAAAGACCTCATTTCTCAAATATATAGGTCCTTTTCTTTTTTGATTTTTTAAAAATCTCTTTTGGGATACAGACCTAGTAGTGGTATTGCTAGGTCAAAGGGTATGCATGGTTTTATAGCCCTTTGGGCATAGTTCCAAATTGCTCTACAGAATGGTTGAATCAGTTCACAACTCCACCAACAGCACTTTAAAGTCTCATTTTCCCCAAATCCCCTCCAACATTTGTCATTTACCTTTTCTGTCCGATAATAAGTATGAGGTAGTTGATCAGAATTGTTTTAATTTGCATTTCTCAGATCAGTAGTGAGTTAGAGGGGCAGCGAGGTGGCGCAGTGGATGGAGCATCAGCCCTGAAGTCAGGAGTACCTGAATTCAAAGCCGGCCTCAGAGCAAACATTTGACACTTACTAGCTGTGTGACCCTGGGCAAGTCACTTAACCCCAGTTGCCTAAAAAGAAAAAGAAAAAAGAAAAAAAATAGAGTATTTTTTTATATGGCTATACATAACTTTGATTACTTCATCTGAAAACTGATCATGTCTTTTGATCATTTATCAATTGGGGAATGGCTTATATTTTCATAAATTTGACTCAGTTCTCTATATGTTTGAGAAATGCCTTTATCAGAGAAACTTGCTTCAATTTTTTTCCCACAGTTACTAAGAGAAATGCTAACT